GTTGGACTCTGCCACTAATTACTGACATGTACTGATTGTAAATACTCAGAATATCTTTTAGTACAGCAGAACTGACCATAAATAGTCTCAAAAATGGGTTTTGGTTTTGATATTTTAACTTTAAAAAGTCTCCTGAGTCGCCGTGCAGCAACATAAACAGCCAATGGCACCGCGTCCGTCCGTCTTGGCGGCGCGCTGACCTTCCAGACCTTCCAGACCTTTTCTCTGAGCCGTGGAGAAGGTGGCGACCTGTTCAGTCGGGCTTCCTCAGAAGTAGAGAGCTCAAAGTGTCTGTGAGATTGGAAGAAGCTAGAAACTCTGTGACCTTTATGTTGGAAATACTCTGAACCACGTGTCCGTCTGAGGAGACGTGAGCACAGCGGCAGTTACTCATCCGTGCATGCTTGGCGACCGATGGGAGGAAAAAGGCAAAGCATGCAAGTTTGAGCTCTCGTGATGATGTATTGATTGTAGGTGGAGCAGCGGCCGCCTAAGTCACAGTGTGAGAAGCCTGAGCAGCGTTGCTTTGGTGATCTGTGTGGCTGGGCTCAAGCACACAGTGTTTGTGTATAACCTCATATGGTCTGCTCTCTATGGAAATACATAAACACACTCCTCGACTCATGCATAATGCATCAGATGTCCGGCACAGTAGTAGCTGCCCTCACAGTGATATCAGATTACCCTGAGTTTTACACACACACACACACACACACACACACACACACACACACACACACAGCGGGGGATCGTTAACCAGAACAGATCCCGTCTCCTCAGACAATTTGTCCCATTCTCCGGCCCGGCCGAGCCCTTTCAGCCGGAGTAGGAGGCACAGAGGAGTGTTTTGCGCACTACAGACGTAGGTTGCCTGCAGGGTTTCTTTGCTCCACAATTGCTGCTTTATGAGGCCACGTAGCCGAAGCCAAGAAACGAGAGCAACAGTGTGAAGACGTCTGCTGGGCTGGTATCTGCTCCTGCATCACTCCTCAGTCTTTCCCTGTTTCGGCTCTGAGAACGTCCCTTTGTGTCTTTGTTCCTTTCGCACACAGACGTTTCCCAACTTTTTCCTTTCTTTATGACCACAGGCCCTTTGCCTGAGGTCAGTGATTGCAAACTCAACACAGTTTACCAGGAATGAGTTACACATTGAAATCTGAGGCTCCTCCTCAGCAGATCCAGTTGTCATGGAAATCAAGACGCACCGATTTCAGTTTTTCTTCTGGCAGGAAAATTAGTAGATTATAAATGTTAACGTTTTACTGTTTGTCAGCCGTTAACTTCAGGGAATCCTGTTTATTTGCTTTCTTGCCCAAACTTAGACGAGAGTGTCGATGAAACTCTGGTTGGTGAAGTGCAGCACCTGTCCAGAGGTTCAGAAAATCTACTAACCTGCACCTGACGTTCACCCATCGTCTGGTTTGTTCAATCTGTGCAGAAGCCAAAGTGTAAAAACAACAAACTGCAGCATTGCAGAAGGTTAACTGCAGCTTCTAGGGTTGAAAATGTACTTTTTAATATGTATTTAATTCATGCAAACGCCCAGTAAAGGTGCATTGTACAGGCTGCGCATGAAAATAGTTTTACTGTCTTTGCTGAGACTTGAAACTATGAATTGAGACCATGCACTCATTGGAAAATTTTTTACAAAGGTTAAAAAAATCAAGGTGCAAGTTTGATCATTGTCTCATAGACTTCTATACAATTGGACACACAGAGGTGTCGCCCCCTGCTGGCTGTTGGTAAAATATCCTAATATCAATAAGTGCAATAACCAAAACGTAAGAGCTGCAATTTGGGGGGATTTTTTAAAAAGAAAAATGTATATGAGAAGTATAAATGAAGCATCGTGGTGCTTTATAAATCCTATAAAGAGAACATCTTTATTCAGACTGCAGCCAAAATATCTTTATTGTTATTTATTTAGTTGACATAAAAAAAAAAAAACTACAATCCCCAAATCTGTCAAAACTAATCGCAATATGATTTTTGTTATTATTATTTATTAGCATATTGTTCAGCCTTCACAGAGGTTTGAGGTGGTTCCTCATTGGCTTCACTTTCCGGATGGTTTTCCTCCGTTCTGTCTTTATTCATAACATTCAGTTTATGTGTCTAAATGAAGAAAAAGATGGACTGACCAAAATAGAGGTGAAACAAAACCCTTTGCCTCTGATTCATGTGCTCAAACAGTAACCTGCGTCCCACCTCAGATCATAATGTGTGCATCACGTTCTGCAGCAGCTGTGTGAGAACATTTGCAGATTCTCAAACTGAAAAACAGCGTCAAGGTTTTCATAATAAAACAAGACTTTCCTTCATTGCAAGTAAAAGAAGTGCTTTAGGAGTGAGTCATCCTTCAATCTCACACTGGTATTTATAGCCCATTAACATCTGACCCACTTCTGTATAATCATCTAAAAGAGGAAACAAGATGTACAGTTTCTGCTTCTGTCTTTCTTCTTTTGTCGTGTCTCGTGTGAGAAACGCAGTTAAAGAAGTTGGGCCTGCGTCCGAGCTCATCGTCCGAGCTGCTCCTGTCACTCTGTCTGACGGAGACGGCGGGAGGAGGGACGCATTCAGACCGGGTGAGAGAGGAAGATGCTGTGGATAGATACAGAGGAGAGGAAATAACTCCCCATTTCTCCCTCCATTATTTACAGTTGTGGGTGTGTGTGTGTGTGTGTGTGTGTGTGTGTGCCTGAATTGCAAAGCTGCTTAGTGGTGTGATTCAGCTGGGGGATTTAAATCTGCTCTCTTCAAGCACTGGGGTGGTGGAGGCAGACAAAGAGGGGAGATAGAGGGGGAGCGTGTGCATCTGGTAGAGCTGCATGTGAAAATGACCTACTTCCTGTCAGCGTCGCTCTCAAATGGATGTTTCTGATGTGTGGAGGAAAGAGGGTCGCCGTGGTTAAATGGAGGATCAGCAGGCGGCTCTGGGGACTGAAACAGACGTGTGAAGCCTGTATGTGTGTGTGGCGTGTGCTCACCTGTTGGCAAAACGTGCACGTTGAGCCGCTCTGCGTCGGTGTTAATTACCCCGACGACGGTTTGATGACAGTCCACTATCAGAAAGCCAATACTGGAGGGGGCGGGGCTCGCCAGGTGCGCCACGCTCAGGTGTTGTTTACGGACGTCATCGGGGAAGTTTCTGTGGTTCTGGTGAGAAACTTGTGTCTGCAATCTGCTCAGGTCGTACCGCGGTCTCAAGAGGGACTGTAGAGAGATGGTAAATGGCTTTTTGTGAATTAATTTATTACCAAACTGATCCAGACATCAACAGGATGAAGGCTTGACCTTTTTTTTTTTTTATTGGGTTTATTGTTAGGAACAGACACATGAGGACAGGAACCCAGGGCAAAGGAAGGATCCATCTCATGACAAAACTATACACAAATGTAGAAGTTCACCTGTGTATATATAAAATAATA